ATAAATGAAAGAATGGATTAAACAGTAAGTTTGTTTTCATTGAAAACAAACTTATCATTTGATCCATTCTTTCATTTATGTTTACTTCACTGTGAAGTAAACATAAATAAAAGAATGGATTAAACAGTAAGTTTGTTTTCATGTGACATAAATGAAAGAATGGATCAAATGGTAAGTTTGCCGAACATCCTAATGGTATAACATAATATTTTGGGACAACATGGGACTAACTGGTCCATCTCGGCTGTTCCATCTTCAAAACTGAATTAATTTGTTTAAAAAAAATAAAAAAATTTCAAACCCAGCCCTTTTCATTCATATACTTATCAAGCTTTTTCTTAAACTCACTTAAATTTACTGCCTCCATAACATCTGAAGGCAACCCATTCCAAAGGCCAACTACCCTGTTAGACAAATGAAACTGTCTTAGCTGAAGATGACTCCTACCTTGCCAAATTTTATATTTGTGTCCCCTAGTCCTACTATTCTTATTGTTAAATATAAACAAAGATGATACATCAACACTATCAATTCCCTTTACAATCTTAAACACCTCAATCAGCCCCCCCCCCAACTTCTCTTTTCTTCAAGAGAAAACAATTTGAGAGATTTCAGCCTCTCGTCATATGACAACTCCCCCATCCCAGGCACCATTCTAGTAACTCTTTCCACAATTCAATGTCCTTCCTAAGGTAAGGAGCCCAAGACTGAACACAATATTCCAAATGTGGCCTAACCAGTGACCTGTACAATGAAAGTATAACCTCTTTAGACATGTATTCAATATTTCTATAGATACAACCTAAAATCGTATTTGCCCTACCACTACCAACAGTACACTCCTTTGATCGCTGTAGAGACTGATAGACTATTACACCAATATCCCTTTCCTTCATAATACTATTAAGGTTATTCCCATCCAAATTATACCCCACATGCACTATAATTAAAATCCTTCTGTATTTTTATTGGCCCAACTCACTAAATCCTTTTGTAAATCAGCAGCATCCTCTTCACTAGTAGCAACACCCAATACCTTAATATTGTTACTTCCACGCAGCACTGGGAGCATGTACACTGGAGTTTCTCGAAGGATCATGAATTTGCCCGCCAGCTCGAGTGTGATCTGAATGCCCTCTTTTTTAGTATATATAAGCCTGGCAAAGAAAGCCAGCGGCAGATAGATAAGTGAGTCCAGCAAGCAGTAGGCACCGTAAGTAAAGTGTGTGAATCACTGTGATTTATAGCATGTGTTATAAAGGTTGTTAAGTTTACAGTGACTCTGGAAATTCTGTGTATTACAAATGTTGTATCGAGGAAGAATAAACTGGGTTAATCTAGAAAGGACTTGTATTGCTGAAGTTTCTCGGAAAGAATTTATACCGGAAATTAACAAACAAGCAGATACATAACAATATCATCTGCAAAGTAATTTATTGACTATCCCTTCATCTATGTCATTGATGTAAATCAAAAAGGTCCTAAGACTGAGCCCTGAGGTACCCCACTTGTGACATTAATCCAGTTTGACTGACCTCCATTTGTAACAACCCTCTGCTTTCTTCCATCCAGCCACTCTTCTATCCAATTTGCTAACTTATCCCACACAAAAAAAGTGCAGGTAAAATAATGTTTTTGGAGGTTGGACAGAGATATGGTAGGTATCATACATGAATTAGGTAAACTACTTATTACCCGAGTGAAAAGTGGATATATATATATATATCCGTGTTTCTTATTGTGATAAGTCTGAAAGCTCTGGTTTAAAAAATGTATTTTTAAACCTTACATATTTTACTGTGTCAAAGGTTATTTTGTGTTTTTTACATCAGAAGTCTATTGAAAAACTAAAATATAAAATTGTCTAGTGGCTGATAGATGTCCTTACTGTACATGTCTAGTGGCTGAATTCCTTACTGTATATTGTTTTACAACTCATGACTTCCTGTATAGAGCTCATAAAATCAATTTTTAATTTCACTAACTAGGGTCCTTTTATTGAATTTTAAGCTCAAAATTTATTCAATTCTATAGGAAATTCAATAATCTTGCCGCTGATTATTTGTTTATGAGTTTTAAAAACATTACAAGTACTTAATTCTTTCAAACTGGTTTGGGATGATAGTGAACAACTTTAATATTTTAACGACCACAGGTTTAAACTCATAAGCATAGTTAATACTAGCTGTACGACAGTTACATAAATAGTATCACGTCACTAATTAATTTACATTAGTTTTTGCTAATTACTTTCTTTGTCATATTTACAACTGTCGTAAATGTCCAATGTATTATTACCAAACTTTCTTGAGGCTTATCATGTTTACATTTTGGTTTTTACAGAAGATTTAACTATTACTTCGTGTTGCCCGTTCCATGTGTGTTTAAAGTAACAGAGGTTAGTTAAAGGGGTGTTACATGTGTTAGACACACCTCATAGTAGTATTTATTATTACATTTAACAATATTATAGCTACTTATTGTATGATTCAGGTATTCATTTATTTTTTATATTCAGAAACATTTTTGGCTATATTCTTGATAATGTCCTGCTACTTCACTGTACACGTAAAAAGTAACAAATCATAGCAACTTATACAAGATGCCAGCTTCCTTTAAAGTCACACTGTTTAATGGATTTATTTGCCCACAAGACACTGTTAGGGACAGTTATGGAAAGTATTGCTTGTACTTGGTAATACTGAGGTTATGTTATTAAACAAACATTAAATCTACAACAGTAGTATTTGAGACCAACAGCTAGCGTTTGTGTGTTCCGTAAGCAAGTTACTCTTATTTTTTTTACTATTCTTTTCATTAACAATATTGGTTAGAATGTTTAATATATCTAATTTTATTACTTTTTAATTTTACTTTTCATTATTATACTTTTATTATTGTAACTATTTTGCACTGTTAATTTATGTATTTAGGGTTACCCTAACTCTCATAAGATATAATTATGGCTAAAAATATCATTAACAATGAGGGCGGCTAACAGATAAAACAATGCATTCCAATCTTTGTAAGTTAGAATGTAAGAAAATATATCTCATTAGCTCTACTTGTTGCAATGTTGATTTTTAGTTTTGCCATACTTAAGTACCTTGATCTGCTTGGAAGTTAATTCAAACTTCCATAAACCAGCAGTCAAACTATTTTAAGAGCTTCCTTCAGTTGTAATATTTAAACTTTGTTTTTTCCACATTACAGAAAAGTAAAAATTTGTATTTCCTTAATATTCTTTAAATGAACCAAATCTTCACAAGCTTAAAATTATACAAGTTTTCATACAATCAGTAAGAATGTATAAACAAGGTATGTCACCACAGTAGACAAGCTTTAGTGTATGTTTAAACAATAATGTTTGCCGTTTTTAACACAAAATAGCCATATAACTTAAATGTTAAAAATCCACAGGAATCCTAAATAATATTCTATCTTTTAACCACAGACTGGCATGTTCGGCATATTGAAAGTTAACTGCTCGTGACTTGTGTACAATCAATGTAAATTTCAGAAACTTTCTATTGAAATAGTATGAATATGTTTTATACATAAAATCTTCTAAAAACCTATCATTCTACAAAATAGTGTTGTTAAATAGATTTTATTTTTCTGCAGTGAAATTTGGAAAATCAAGAAAATAAACTATGTTGGGAAATAATTTCCACTTTATTCTCCATCATTTCTGGTTACTGATACTTTGGTCATTTTTAGCATCAATCATGTCTAATTATACTAAATAGTGGCAACTACTATTATTATTATATTTGATCTGGGAGTAATTTACATTAACTAAACCAGGTGTCTACCGATTTATAATTTTCTTTCTTAATATGAAACAAAGATTTACATAATTACTACTCATTTGGTACTTTTGGAGGAAAAGAAAGGTCTACTATTGTATAAATACAAGAGCAGAAAGCAAAAACACATAGCCCAAGAGTGCCATGATACATCAATTTATCAAAAGTTCCTCCCTTGACATGCACAAGTTGACCATCATCAACCTGGAAGAGAAAAAAAAGGTTATCATTAACTACTGTAGAACATACATGTTCCAAACCAATGTGTGAATGTTCCAAATCTACTCTTTATAATTTAAAGAACATGTAGCTGTCTACTAGTCACATCAATGTAAAGTTCAGGTTACAACTTTGAGCACATGTGATGATTGATTAATGATAATAATTTCAAAATTAAGTCTTTCTGCAACCTTCAGACAAGGCTCCGTCTTCAGAAGGTACTGACTGTGCGTGTGGATCGAGATGAACAATTGAATTATGATGAAATTATACAGTTTAGAAGCCTATAATATTTTCTCTGGGATCGGGAACCAATTAAAATCATTATCTTATACTTGATGGTCAAGAGAAATGTTTAGTGCACTAGTGTGATTGTTAACGTAGCTGGGATAAGTTGATGAAATTAAACCACAAAAGTAGGTTTTGATTACAATAATTCTCTGTATAATTAACACCAGGGAAACTTTTAGTGGTGCAACTTCAACCAAATGGATTAAAATGAGGAAAACCAAACCATAATTTCAAACTTACGAAATAAAAGGTCCTTCCATAAATTAATTGTTAAGTTCATACAAAAATCAACATTTTGTTAAAGCTACTTCAAATAATTATCTTGAAATAATCAATCTTTAGTGAAAAATCACAGTAAATGAAACAATGTCAGAAGTTGATATTAGAGAAATTAGTGTGTCCTCTTCAGTCTCATGTTGTCAGGAAGATTTCTGGCTGTTTTTAAATAAGTGCTAAACACAATATCATGTTCTTTTATACTAACCAGGCTTTGTGCATGAAGTTTTACCACTTCAATAATTTAACACATTACAGAAATTAAAATTTGCTTCCAATTTCTTCTGAGGCAATCCATTTTACGAGGAGGAGAACAGTAAATGAAACTTATGGTTGATCCTGTACATCTCAGCCCATAGAGGTCAAGGTCATGGACATACATGCTCTCAGGTACATTCCAGACCTTTTAAACAATCACATTATTTACTGATAGTTTGATCAGTAATGTTGGACTTTAGCCGCTTTAACTCGTGTTCTGATGGTTAAAATTACAGACCAGTGAATACACAAACTTGTCATTTCATGAAATAATGAGGCAAATTATTGACCAATCATTTACAGATTGAGTCCTTAAAGGCAGATACACTTTTTCTTGGTAATATTTCATTTTTATCTGATTTCTTGTGCCTCTCAAGTTCTCTGGACCACAATTCACAACTTCACCTTCCTTTGTACGAGACTGACAGTAATTTCAAAATTTAGGACATTTTATAAATTTGTAATGTTTTCATTTGTAACAAATTTCTCGATTATTGGAATAATTGTTGTGTGTCTATGTGTGTGTGTGTGTGCTCGAAGTTATGGTGAACCTTCTCCATAACTTCCACTGGATCATTTCTATCTCTGTCCAGTTTAACTCCATCTAATGCAAGTTATTTCAAATTAAAAAAAAATTGGATAACTTCACCTTCAAAAGACGTTCTGTAATTGGTTGGCTGTCCATTGATTAGTCAGTTAAAAGGAACCTCACATATCAATTTCAGTTTAGTGTAATCATCAAAACAGACAAACAAGCTGATGCTGAGTCTACTACTAGTATGTTGTTTCCAGCCCCAGCACTCCCACTTTCTCATTGGATGTACGTGGTTTGCCAGTTCAATAATATAAATGGCAGAAATCCACCAACTAACAGCCAATTTTCATCCCTGTATTGTTTTAAACATTATACTTGCCAATAAGACTAGTTTTTAACTTCCCACATTCATCAACTTTTTGAAATTTAAATTATTTTAAGCTGATAATACAGTACCAATAATACTGATATTTTAAAGAATAAAATTAAATTTCATGGTTAGATGTGCATCTGCTATTATTATGTCTAGCTCATTTATTTATACCAAGTTATGTATCTTTTGTCCCTCTATATACTTCCTCCTATTAATAAAACATCTACTTGAAATCCTGTACTCTCATACATTTTCACATGAAATAAATGTATCTATATCACAAATATTAAGGATGTACCAACATCACTTTTTGACTCATAAGTAATACTTATAAAAACATTGACCAATAACTCAGATCTCGCTGTAGCCTAAAAAATGTGGTAGGCCTGATAAATAATCTGGAAATTATCCTTTTAACTTCTGAATAACAAATATGGGTCTCCAGTCCATAGCAATTCATTTTACTGAAATAATTCCAGGCCTAACAAAGGACAATGGTGATCTCATCTATATCCCTTCATACAAAAGTAAACCCAACTGACAGGATCTCTCTTTAAAATAATAGTCTTATGTGATGTTACAAATGTTTTGCTTGTACCCAGTGTTTACTGTGTGTTCAAGGTTATTCCAGAATTTCTTACCATCCTTATTGTAGAACAGTATGAAATAATCAAGAAAAAAGTTTCTCATCATTGTCTGTGGAAAGTTCTAGATTATTTTTCTTAAGTGTTATGTATTAATATATCTGGAATGTTCTAAAAGTTTAGAAACAGTGTGTGCAGGCAGTACTAAAAACAAAGAATTTTCCTGTCATCACATGGAGCAGCTTAAATAAGTCATGATTGATGAGAATATTCATCAAGAAACAATCCACACCATAGTAACTGATACTATTGCAATCATAGCTGTTGAATAGTATGATTAGAAGTTCTCATCATACACTAAAAACTGTTATAAAGATGGTTTGGTACCACAGAAGACAGTCAATGACACGGTACCAGTTATGAGGGACTTTGCAAATCATGTAAACCGTTGATTGAAAGATAGAAAAAAAAATCCAAAACTACATGCCGATTTTGGAATTGAACAGCATTCAAGATGTAGCAGTAAATTACTACTGTAGGCCCACCATTAAAAACATGCTTACAAAAAAATGTAGGCACCAGAAACATGCAATGCATATTTTCATAATTTAAGTTTCAAGCTTCACAAAAGAGCAAAGTTCTGGAAAAATGATGATGAAGAACTCAACAGAATAGTTCACCTATGGGTGAACCCTGAAATTTTAATAAAGTATCAAAAATACAATTTCACGAAATAAGGTCATGATGCATAACAACAGTGACATTTTTTCTATATGTAAAGAAAACCATGGTAGGGGACAAAACAAAGGTGTGCACACAATCTAAGCCAATTCTGAATCAACCACCCACTGCCAGAGCCACCTGTTCTACAACTTAAAATGTGTAACTTTGGATGTGTAGATCACTTAGGAGAATCCCACCTGATTCAGAAAGTCAATTAGAAAAGACATTCATAACCCCCTAAGTTGACAGACTATTCAGTAAACTGAGTGATCTTGGATACAAATCAGGCAATATGTGCAAGTAAGCATCTGTTTATTGATATAAGCCACCACAGTGCTACTTTTGGAATAAATCATGAAACAAACTATGGTAAACATTCTGAATTGACCAAAGGTCATTGACATTAAAGCAGAAAAACTTTCTACAACCATGCAAAACAGCCTTCCAGAGAGCAACTGAAACAGTAATGAAAAGACTTAAAAGAAATACCATTGATTAATTTAATCCTTGTCTAATAAGAGGAAACTTTACCTCTGTAAGTTAAAATATATTCTTGGAAATGTGTACAAAGAGAGGGATAAATTTGGAAATAACTAAAGAAAAATGTACAGTAGTATTAGAAAGAATGTATAGTTTTTGAAAGCATCTTCAAATTTCTTCAATAAGGAATATTCTGTGGATATCTTTAAACATCTGTATACACTTAGTCAACTTCACCAACCTTGTAACCACCATGTAATTGTGAATCTATGCATACTGTATCTCTCAATGTGTACCAAGTGTATCTTCACGAAACTTGACAAGCTTTTGGTAAGCATTACAACTACTAAATTGTTTTAGCTATAGCATAGCAGCTCATAGAAAGGCTCGAGTTAATTTAAAGTACAAACTTTTAGCTCATAGCTCCTCCATCTCTTGACCAATTTGAGATCTAATTACAGTTTTGGACTCAGGAGGTCAAATCCTTTCAATTGATGTATTTTACCATGCTCAAGGTCTCATACATTAATTTAATCTAATCCTGCCTTAAAGACTTTCAATTTGAGGGTAAGCTGGTAGAGATCCTCGAGTAATGAAAACAAATCGAGTATACGTGCACCCCATGCTTGGTATTACTGGCATACAAAAATATTTACTCTAAAAAAATTTCAAGTGCCACAGCTACTGAGGATTCCCTCTTGTTTGTCTACAACAATGTATTTTTACTGAGTCAGTCTGAGTGAAAGGTGATATTCATATTAACAATACATATACAGTTTTCATACTTCAGTTTTATAACTTCTAGAGCCTCCTAAATGAATATTTTATTTTTCCAGTAAAACTATATTCCATCTCTTGTTTTTTCTACCCTAACACTAACTGTAGTGAAATAGTTAAAAAATATTCATTTTGTTCTTTGAATTCATAATTGTCCAAATCCTATTACTACTTATTATTGACATTATAAAGTATAACATGTAGAATTTGGAGTGCTGTAATTAAAACAAATTACAGGTAATTAAAAAAAAAAAGGTATAAATATTCTTGTAATTTACTCCAAATGGAGTATTATAATGTAGGATAAAATGCAACAACATTTTTCAAGTTTCTGTTTTGTATAAATTATTATACCTGAAATTTTTTCTGCAATTCTTTGATTCTGGCTTGTCCTGATGCACGACAACTAGAAGTTGTGGTTAGTTTCCGACTCTGTTGGGCAATTCGAACAAGTGCCTGAGAAAATAGAAATATATATATATAGCAATATCAAAACTTTTTTTTTCTCTAATACTTTATATTTCATCTCATTTCTCTACCCTAACCAGTTTCAACTCCAAGATTCTGAAAGTGGAGAGGTGAGGGGGTGGCAGACATATGGGCTTGGGAAATGAAGGTTTTTTTTTTAAATGATATATGTAAGGAAACTTATGGAGTATACATAAGAAGGCTCTAAGAAAAAATGATTATTTTTGCTGTGAAATGTTTTCATTAATATTACAAACACATGTCTGTTGTAAAATGCTCTTTGTTGATTTGGCTTGTTATTTTCATTGGGATACTTGGTGCATAGTTCTTCTCATGATTCATGACGTGTATGTTTTACTGATGTTACAACAGTACAAATTATAACATTAAGCATCCCTTATGTGACATCATTTTAGTGTCTACTAACTGACTGACAGACAATATGCTACTGTATAATGGTTAAAACAGGTGACCCCTCCAGGCACCCTTCTGCCCCCTTTCGGGGATATAATCATACCATGTGTGACTTAAGTACACTTAAGTATCCATACTCGATATTGAAACAAACCACATTTCCAGTTTTAGAAAACCAAATACTAGAAAAATCTTTTTTTTACCCCTTTTGATTCTTCAGCCATAGTTTTGTGTGTCTTTTAGGAGGCTTTTCAAGGTTTAAAAATATGCATATTTGTATAACTGCTTTTCTAATTCCTTCATCAACAGATTGATTTTTTTCAGTTATAATACATTGTAAATTTCTATAAAACATGAAATTTGCTTTCAACTATTCAAAAAAGGCCATTCAAACCATTAGGAGGGATTAAGATTAAGAGAATTAATTAAAGTGTCAGAAAGAAACAAACATTTATAACCAAACAATGGCTTATTAAAATGAAAGTTTGTTACTGATATAAAAGTAAAAAAATTAATTAATTAAAGTATGAAAAAGAAAAACATTTATAACCAAACAATGGCTTATTTTTCATACTATTAAAGAACTTCACAGTTGTTTAAAAAAAAATCTTGCAGAATAATAAAAGATCACTGCAGCTTTTGAAAATTCTCGAAAATTTCTGATTATTAATTGGGCATCACTCCCAGTAATGGTTGGAGATGGGTTGAATGGGTAATGAAGAAAAACTTTAATGTAAGTTTAACATAAAAGTAAATGTACAACGTTTCGACAAGGTT